AATACACGAAGGTACCAAAACTCAAAAAGAAAAGGCACAAAGAGAGGCCAAACAAGGCCTAAGAGGGGGTGGACAACCCCAAACAAAAAAGTGACCTTAATGAAACATCTTAAGCATAAAAAATCAGAACTTTTATCAGTAGAACACTAAGCTTAAAACAATATACAAGATAGGCTAAAAGCTTATGCAAGAATGGGGAATATAAAGTAATAGTGATCATCCTTGAAGAACACTTCAAGAACACCAACTCCAGTCCCTCCTTCTGATCAAAACCAACTTAAAAACTCTGAAACTAGCCCCTCAACACCTCAGTAACCGAAGTATAGTGTAACACTAGGTGTCTTAGTGCAAAACTAAGAACAAAAACCCCTTTAGAACACTATTTCACATACAAATATAGAGAGAGAGATACAGAGATAGAGTGATATATATCATATATCCCAGGTTGTTCAACCCCTGGAAAGGGAGGGGAGGCCTTCCTCTTGTAGGCAAGGCAATTCCAAGCTTCAAAAGGAAGCTAAGTGTAAGGATGGAATCCCTCCATACACGTGTATGGAGGGGGTGTAATGTGGATGCTAGCTGTGACAGCTGGCATAAAATATCTGCCAAAAGCAGATGAAAATGGGTCGACCAGCAGAAATGGCCGATTGACCAACAAAGGTGGCTGACCGGCCATAACCTTTGGCCGATGGCAAGAAAAAAGGGCCGGTGGCATCATGCCTTGGCCGGTGGGTTGGGAGGATGGCCAACAAGCCTCCCTCTTCCTTCCCAAGCAAAAACACAAATGTTTGGTCTACAACTAAGCACAAAACAGTCAAAGGCAAGGCACGCGACCAAGATCTCTGAGAACTCAAAACGAGCATGAACATGGATGATCACCGAGTATTCAAACGGTGACGTCCAAGTCTTGAGGACGGTAAAAAATGGGGTGTCTACAATATACATATATATTTTGTGCATATATGTGTGTATCTGCTTTCATATGTGTCTATATGAAAGAAGATGTTCTATGATCAGGAATTATGAACCAACTTAGTACTGTTTTTGTACCTAAAATAGTTCTCGCCTCGAACTTTGAATGTATTTGGTTCAATATGTGACCAAGAATCAAACATTTTCTTGTCTACTGGGCAAAATGGTACTTGAGAACCTGCTATCGGTCTTTGCAGAAGCATCTTCGAAGAAATTACAAAAAAAATTAATTAAGCAAAATTCATATACCTTCTTAGGATCGAAATATCATACAATTCATAACAAAATGTCATTACAATGGACAATTAACAAATATGTATATGTCCAATTCAAAATTTTAATCAGGAGATTTGGAACTGAGAGAAGTAGCAATAATAATCTTGAGAATGATAGTAAAATAACTATACGCATACTATATGTATTTATATGTTGTTCTCCAAGTTATCAAAACTACAAGAAGACAACATAAAACAATAAACAGATCAATAATCACAATTCAAATCCTAAAAAACAATTAAAAAAACCAAATTAATTTTCCCAATATTTTCTCAGTAACCAATCACTAGAAAACAAATTCCCCGAAAACTAACCAGTCAGAAGTGGTTATAACAACACCAGCCCAGATAGGAAAAAACCCATTGCTGAGAATCTTGATAGCAATTGCACTCCTAATCACATCCTGAATATCAGCCCCAATCAAAGCAAGCTCCGCCCTGAACCACAACAACAACCCAGCCCAATATGGATACTCTTCCTTACACAGTTCTGCCAAGTGCCTTCCCGTGGTGACACCGATCCTCGTTGACAATAGCTGGATCGGTAAACCCATCTCGGTGGCCCACATCAACAACCACAGTAGTGAATACCCAGCAATCGCTCCCTCTGTGTGAGAGAAAGACAGAGGGCGATGGCGATTTATGGCGGTGGCGATGTGTGACGGATGTGAGCAACGGTGGTGAGGGACTTGGTGAGCTAGAGAGAGTGGGCACCGATTGAGAGAAAGAACATAGAGAGAGGGAGAGGGCGGACCGAGACACAAAGAGCGAGATAGAGACAAGGGAGATTAGGGCACCTTTCTTTTTTTTTTTGTTGTCTTCATGGTACAAAATGACGTCGTTTTAAAATTGGTGACCAAATTTATTTGTCGCAAAAAATTTCAATTCCCGCCTCACGTTTCAAATTTGCCTCCCAAACTTTTGGCGACCAAAAGACCATATTAGTCGCAGAAAAGGTACCTTCGCCGACAAACTTTTTTAGTCGCCAAATCTCAATCAACGGCGACTAAAATATTAGTCGCTAAAAGTACTAATTTGGCGACTAATTTTTTTTGGTTGCTGAAAATAAGTTTTTGGCGACCAAATTTTTGGTCATCAAAATTTTTTATTTTTTTTTAATTTTTCATTCGGCGACTAAATTGTTTTAGTAGCCAAAACTCAATATACGGCAACTAAAATATTTTTGGTCAGGGAAAATAAGTTTTTGGCAACTAAAATTTTGGTTGCCAATTTCATAACCAACTTATTTTTGATCTTCCGCGACCAATTTATTTTTTGATCGCCAAAATATGACCTTCCGCGACCAAATTTGTAGTTGGTAGCCAAAAGCATACCACTTTCTGCAACCAACTCATTTTTTGGTCGCTGAAATATAACTTTCTACGACCAATAATATTTGGTCGCCAAAAATAATGATCATTCGCGACTAATTAATATTTGGTCGCCAAAAGGTAACTTTTAGCTACCAACTTTTATATTGGTGGCGGAAAGTGGTCGCTAAAAGTGCAGATTTTTGTAGTGCTTGTATCACTTTAGTCTTTAACTTTTCAATTGTAATACATTTGATCCTAAGTTTTGAATCTTATCCTAAATAAGGAAAATCAAAGATGTTTCATTTGCAAACGGTTCATTTCAAGATTAAAGTCGTCATACAACTTGTTTGTTAACTTATATGTTGTTTGAAATGTAATAACTTTTTTTTTAATGAATAATGTTGACACTTTCTTGGTTATAAAGTTTTGTTTGGTTTGGTTTGATTTTTAAAATCTATTTTTAGAAATTTTTTTAAGAAACTAAAAATTAAATTAGTGAAAAAAATTAAAAACACATCATTTTTATATAATTTTATCTTTTGGGAGAGTAAAAATAATCTTTTGATATTTATTTTTGTTAAATTAGTTCATATTTTTTCAAAAGTCAAACATGACGCCAAATTTGATGTTATTATTAAACCAATCCGTTAAATTAAAAAATATAAAACTAAAAACATTTTAAATATTAAACATATCGATTACACATTAAAAACTTAGGCCTATTTTGGCAAGCTGGTTAAAAATCAGTTTTTTAATTTTTTTTTTATCACATCACATCTCTATTTTTTTACACTTTTTTAAAAAAAAAATTCAAAAACTCACTTTTTAACCAACTTCTCAAAACAACTCTTAATAACCATATATTACATGATAACTATTCAAATCATCTATATATTACATGATAACCATAAAAAAATATCAACAAAAACAATCACTCATTACATGATAATCATCCAAACACATAATATAATATTATCATTGTTATATAATTTTATCTTTGGTGGGTAGAAATAATTTTTAAAACTAAAAAAACAACTTTTTGACATATTTTTGTCAAACTAGTTATATTTTATCAAATTGACGACTTTGCCTTTGAAATTGAGCATTTTTTATTTGCAAAGGAAACGGTGTTATCCATTGTTTTTATTTGTAACGAGATTCAAAATTTATGATCAAATGTATTACAATTGAAAGATTACGGATTAAAATAATACAAGTCCTAAGTTACAGGAACTATTACTATAATTCGCCATGAAAACATTTATTTTAATCTTACACGACTAAAATTTAAGTAACTAAAAGCGCATTCGCAAATGACTAAATATTTGATAATCCAAAGTTTTTTTTTCTTTCTTTTTAAATTTAACTTACAACCCAGATTCCAAACCCCCTAACTTGTGCAAATATATAACATGTATCTAAACAATCTGAAATATAATTTTTTTACAACCTATAACTATATAGGTACATTATAGATCTATGCATTCAATTATCAATCATTTAGAGAAATTTAATCATCATCTTTAAATTCAAAAGAAAATCAATCATTCAAAATAATTTTAAGCATCAACTTTAAATTCAAAAGAAAATTACAAATTTCTACAAACATAATATGTATTAAAGAAAATCATACACAATCAAAATGTTACAAGCCCTAAAATATTTCCACATTCTCTTTCCTAATTTTCTCCTCATTCTCCTCCCTCCTATGATCTGGTTTTCCATCCTTGAATAATGCCTATATATACACTTGCAAGACTCCCTTCATTTCGTACAAGAAATCCAGATTTCCTCTTGTCATTGTTCTTCCTTTTCTATCTGTTAATACAATATCAAAGTAATATAAAAGTAAAAATATTTTCATGGGACTCTTTAAACGAGGTTTGCTAGCTATTATAATTAACAGTAATAATACATAACCCTATTAGAAAAGCTCTAAAGAGCTCTAGTGAGATAGATGAGAGGGAGAGTAGAGAGAGATAGAAAGAAGAGTGTAAGCCTCACCTTCACATGATTACTTTTCACATCATTAAAATTGCATTAGAGCTCTTAAACATTATTCTAGAACTAATATTATTATATTTTAGTCATTTCAATAGGCTAGCTATTATAATAGTACTTTTAACAAAATTCTTCAAAGTTAATTACATTTGAAAAGCCTTGGAGGATCTTCAAACAATTTGTATCTATAGATAAATAAAATAAAGAGGAGCGTTGTAGTACATGGATAAAAATAAAAATAAAAATAAAAATTAGGCAAAATAAAAGATTATCTTTTTTTTTTTATATTTTAACTAATAAAAAATGAAGAGTATAATTGAAACTGTTCTAAACCCTACGACTGCCTATCACTTCCAAATATACTATTGTGACTTGCACTCACACACACACACACACACACACACAAAAAAAAGAAAAGATTTTTATTGACAGAGAAGATTGATAAACAAATGTCACCTTCAACCTTTATTTTCGTGTTAATAATTTATAACTAGCGAACCTCTCCCTCAGCATGATCAACAGCTTGAATTCACTTCTGAAAAGAATCTAATTTGCATCCTATCATAATTGATTCCTACTCACAAATAACCAATATTGTAAAATTGTACAAAAAATTAATTAATGAATTAATGAGAGACAGAGACAGAGGGAGGGAGAGGGAGAGGGAGAGGGAGAGGGAGAGAATCTTCCACCATGCATGCAATGCAACACACCAGAGTGACCAGACTGGTTGCTTTCTCTAAGCATCAAATATGAAGGAATTGAGCTCGAGCTCGAGCTCGCCGAAGATAACATCATGTCCATCATCACCATAAACACCAAAGTCCTCGTGTGATTGTGAGTCGAAGTAAGTCTGTATGTCACTAGGGAAGCTGCACTGTGACTGTGGTGGTGGGTCTGAAGACTCCTCCTCCTCCTCCTCCTGAGGGGTAGACGGGCAGTAGTACTCGTCAGTCGCTGATGTCATCTCCATCATTTCCTTAAATTTCGATGATTGAAGTAGAAGTCCTAGGGCTGACGCGGCGGCTGTGGCTGGCCGGGACTGAGTTGGAGCCACATCGCTGCTGCTACAGGTGATTGCGGTAGTGGTCTGTTCGTGTTGGAAGTTTGATCCGAGTTCATAATTAGTGGTGTGAGTAGTAGTTAAGTTAGTTTCAACATTAGAGACTTTAGGTTGATTGGTATTGTTGTTCTTAGGTCTTAGCCATGTTATGTAACCGCTCAGATCAAAGTTGGTAACTGCGTTATGTCCCCGGTATTCAATGGCCGCCATATCATATGCGATTGCAGCCTCTTCTTGCGTAGCTGCACAAATTAATGTGATAATTTAGGCACAATGTGAGTTTTAAAATAATAATAATAATAATAATAATAATAATAACAATGGAGTTTTGTGGACAGTATAAAAAAAAAATAAAAGGGGAATTACAGCGCAACAGTGAAAAAAATTACAAAAATATGTCAAGTGTAAATGATTTTGTGATGAGTTGCAAGTAAAAAATTGTAGGGGTGTAAGTGTAACTTGCATCTGTCCATATTTATGTTAAAAAAAAAAAAGGAAAAAAAAATCCTGTCCACTGAAATATAATTCTCCCAAAATAAAAAATGATAAAATTTTTGGAAGACTTTGGGTATGGTTAGGGTTGGTGGATCAACCCAACTAACTGATTGTGATTGATATATATTCATTGATATATATTCCTTAAGTCATCATATATATATATATAAGTATAAATCTATTTTTTAAATTCATTTTATAAATTCAATAATATGTAAATGATATGATCGGTTGATTATTAAAAAAGATATGAGATAGAGTATTACTTTTAATATTTTAATTGATTGTCACATCACTAAACTTGAAAATTAAAAAGATATTTAGAATGATCTAAATAAATATATTTTTGACTTTTTACTAAAAGATGTATAAAAAAATAGAAAAATAATATAACTAAAAAAAATAAATAAAAAGATAAAAAAAATACATTAAAATAGAAGATACCAAATAGTACCTAAGTCTAATTTTTTTTGTCCTAAATAACAATGCTATATATATATATATATCCTTTGCACTTGCAACTTTCCCAACACGGGTCTCCAAAATTGTATTTATCCAATCACTTACATTCATAATCCCATAAATTACATTTCAAGTTATTTTAATTAAAAAAAAATTAGTTTACAAGATTGTCAGTGAATAAATTATTTTTTAATAAAAGATCGGGCAACATTACTACATATATTTTATTATATAAAGCATATACCTTAGTTGGTGTGATCATAACCGCATTTATTTATTATTTATCTTTTATTTATTTTTTTGTAAGAATGCCCTTCAGATAACTTCAGCATCCAATAACTATAGAATGACCACCGGGGTGGTGGCCTAGTGGAGAAAGCAACTCGTCTCTATAGGTATAATCTAGGGTCGAATCCTAGGGGAGGTGGAAGTGTTCTCTTTGAGAACCCCTCTCTGTACTCCGGTTCGAATCCTCGGCGGCCTGTGGCGTATAGTTGAGCTCCACACAGTGCCCCGGTGGTGGGTCTCTCTCCACACAGTGCCCCAGTGGTGGGTCTCTCACTTGGTGGGGGTTAATTCCTGACTGGCAACCGGTTACCCTGGGGTCAAGGTCTTCTGACTGGCAACCGGTTACCCTGGGGTCAAGGTCCACAAAGGCCGTGATGACACCTCAGAGCCCCTTTTTTTTTTTTGTTCAAAAAAATAAAAATAAAATAACTATAGAATGATTTTTCTAAATGGTTTCACTATAACATATAAGAGTTTTATAGATCAAAGCGAAAATTTCGTTACAAAAGACATTTAGGGACCAATTTCTATTGGTATGAGGATAATCGCTAAAAGGTCATCTCGAAAAGTAAAACACAAAGCTTTTAGCAACAAAATTTTGAAAATGTCACTAATAAGTAGATGTTTAGGGACAAAATAATTTGGTCTCAAAAAATTTTATTTTTTGAGACAAAATTTGGTCTTAAAAGGATAATAATTTATCACTAATGTCCAATTTTTGTTGCTAAAAATATAATGACAACACTTTTCGCAACAAAATTATTTGGTCCCTAAAAAATAATTTTGTTTCTAAATTTTAATCTCTAAAACCTTAATTTTTTGTTGTGTTTTTCTCATTCAAACTATTCAAAAATTGTTGAATAGTTTTATTCATGCATCAAATTGTCCATTAATTATACAAATCCACTTTTTAAACTCATTTTCTAAACTTAATGATGTGTAAGTGATATAATTAATTGATAATTAGAGAAAATATGAGATAAAATGTTACATTTAATATCCTAATTAATTGCCACATCATTGAACTTAAAAAATGAATCTAATTTTTTTCTTGAGTAACAATGCTCAAAATTTAAATATAAAATTATCGATGCATTTGTGTTTGTACCTGAGGTATAAATCACACTAATAATTTAGAAAAATGTTCTAGACCACTAATCCAAGATCTCTAATAGCTCTAATATTGGTGTGAGTCCCACATGATGAGATGTTTTGGCCTTGTATCTTTTTATTTTACATTATTTTTTATTATTTTCCAACTCATTAGAGCTATTAGTGCTCCAAAATTAGTGGTACCAATCACTACTCAATAATTCATTCAACACATGGCACCTGTCGGTCTTTGACATGTAGCCATTTGTAAAAGAGAGAGACTAAGGCCTTGCTCAAGAGTAGGGTTGTGTAAAATATTACCTAATCTGCTAAAATCGTATCAATTCGCATCAATCTGCACTGTTCTATCCGTCAACTGTGGATTGAACTTTAAAATTTATAATCCACCTTTCAAACTGTTCCACTCCGCTATAGTTAATACGTATATATTTTTTAATCTCCAATGAAATGTCAAAGTAAAAATGAGTGTGAGAAATATTTAAAATGTGAAATTTGTTTCAAATTAGTAGTTATATATATGAAACATATTATCTAAAATTAATTTGTATTATATATATAAAAAATATTATGCAAATTAGTGTTATATATTATGCAAATGTTTGATAATTAGTTAAAATATTTTTCAATCCGCCAATCCTTCCAAACAGCGATTTGTTAATTTGCTATTAATCCGTCAATCTGTTATTTGATTTGTAATTTTATTCTCAAACTGCTTGAACCGCACAACGCACACCCCTACAGTGCAATGTCATTACTGCTAGAAAGGGTCTAAGTTCGTTTAAGTTTTTCGAAGGTCCAAAGTTGTTCAGAGTTTTTGGAAGGTGAAGGAGTTTCATCATTATTTATCACCATCATCATCAAAACTTAATAACAGGAATTACCATATGTCCCAAGATAGAGGTATTTGTTGCCAAAAACTCTGCCAATCCTAGCTTCCCATCTTCCATTATGATGATGTCTGCTTATTGACGTCAAAATACAATAAGTATAAAGAACAACACATTTGCCATCTTGAATTTGTGATAAGAAGATAGGCAACTTGAGCTATATATGGATTAAAATAGTGGCAAAAATGCCAAAATTTAAATTATAACTAAATTAACATTAAATCGACAATTAATACTTTACTTGCATCTCAAAGTCAATAGTTAAAATTTGTGTTCATAAAATTTGAAGAAACATCAAAAGAAACAAGTTGCGTGTTGAATCATACCATGCATTTGATTAGGAGGCTTATAGTATTATTGGAAAATAACAGGTTTAGCTTTCTGTGGATAACAACACCACACACACACACACACACACACAAAATAAAAAATAAAAAGGAAAATTATCAAAGAACTGTTTTTTCAATGACAGACAAATAAACAAGCAATTAACAAATAATATGCAAATTTTTTTGTTACCTTGCAACTCCTCTGTATTTTGACACTCCTCGAGAAAAGCCACTACTTTTCCTGCAGGATCAACACAAAAATTTACCTTAATTCAAAATATATAGCTTATTACTTTTCTTTCCTATAGCTTTTAATTAGTAATGAAATTTACCTTCTCAGTGATCCAATAAATTCTTCTCTGGATATACCCTCCATTTCTATCAGTTGTTTTTGGTAAGTTGGTAACTACATTTATTAATGCATATCACTTTATTTGTTAATCTTAAGATTAGCTGAAGAAATTATAGGCTAAAAAATAAAAAATAAACTCTCTGAGTGCAATGAATATTAATTACGGGAAAGTTGAGAATGGTTTCTGGACCCCAATATTTCAATGCTGCCAAATCATAAGCATGAGCAGCAGCTTCTTCATCATCATAGGCACCTGAATTACCAACACCAAAAAATAAAATAAGAGCCACTAAGTGACCATATTCCTAGAAATAATTACGAAAAAAAAGGAAATATATTAATTGGAACATACCAAGATAGACTGCATCATTTCATTAGGATTCCACAAAACCAGCCACCAGCACCACCAATGCAATAATAGCAGAAAGAAATCAATAAAATTGCTCTAAAGATATGTTTATGAAGAAATATATATATATATATACATAATATGAGGAGAGAATGATATTGAACCTTGTCTTCCTTTCTTGTTTTGTGATTCATTCCAGCAATTCTTGTCCCACAAATGAGCTTCATACCTTCCTGTCCATCGATGCCTTGACCAATCACAATAACAGTAGCCTTTTAAGTAAAGCAAAAGAAGACCATTAACAGCACTGAAACTAACTTAATTTGATTGAAATGTTAAAGTAATTAATTATTATATTCTTCTACCTTGTAACTCCTCGGTAAATTGAGCTACGTTGAGGAGGGGAGTCTCTTGGGATAGTTTTTCGTGTTCTTTTCACCTTCATCGCTGAACTGGTATTAGTTTTAGTATTACTAGTACACTTTGCATTGTTCTTCGTGTTTTGCTGTGATAACTCCATGAAATGAAACACTGCTAATTCCTACGTCGAAAAAGAAGGAAAAAAAAGAAAAGAAGAAAGGATAATATAAGATATAAAAAAACAAAGAGGAGATATGACTGGGTCTCCAATGAAGGGGGCTTATAAACGGGAGGGGTGGCAGTGATTAGAGGTCTAAAGTAAAGAATGGTTTTGGAAGAAAGTGAAAGTGTGCGCTGGCAAAGTAGAGAGGTAGAGAGGTAGCCGGCAAGGGAGGATGATTTTGTGCCGTCTCTAACCGGCTCTTGTGGCCTTTCTCTCTTGTCCTCATCTCTACTTTGTGTTATGTGATGTTCCAATTGTATTGAAAGTGAAATAAGCACAGTCCTCATAAGCCTGTTGATACACAGGGCGCCTCTATTACTTTATGTTATATATGTTTCCAATCTAACAATGTTTTTGGTTTATTTGGTAACCATCTTTCAAATTATTTTGTAATGAAACAAAAAAAAAAAAAAAAACTGAAAATTACTTTAAACATCAAAGCAATACTTACTTAGTCCAATTAGGTTGCCCCACCCAAGGTGAAATTCTGTGGATGGTTAGACTTAAAACTTCAACTTTTTTGAAGAGGATTGGTGTGTTGAATCTGGAAGCTAGTTCGTTGTCCTTATTGTGCAAAGCAGGGGAGGAGACAGTGAACCATGTATTACTGTTCTATCCTCTGGTATGGAATGTGTGGACTGATATGTTGAAGTGGTGGGATTTGGTTTGGGTGTTGCCGGGATCAGTTGAAGTTTTATTGTACTGGTGGGCAGGTTTCAAGTTCAAAAAGGTGATTCAAACAATGTGGAAAGCTGTTCCCTTAGCAGTTATGTGGTCAATTTGGAAAGCTAGGAATGAGTGCCTTTTTAAAGGAAAGATTGTCAATGCGAATCACCAAGGATCCTCTAGAGTATTTTTTTCTTAAAGTTTCTTAAAGTGATGTATTGTGTGGTTGAGATTTAATGCTGAAAAATTGATGTGACTTGTCATTAAATCTCAACCACACAATGCACCACTCTAGAAAACTTTAGGAAAAAAAAACTCTAGAGGATCCTTGCTCGATGGGAATGAATTATTTGAAATGGTGAAAGTGAGGGTAGCACTATGGAGTAAACAAAGCATAAGAGGTTTGCAGTATTCAGTGGAGGATATTGTCACCAACCTTGATAGGATCAAAGCTTGATTGTGGTGGTGATGGTTGGTGTGCTGGTGTTTTTAGTTTCTATAACAGTGGGAGTGGCTGGAGTTTGTTTTCTGTTGTTTTTCTTGTTTTGCTTGGGTTGGTTTGTCATCAACCTAGGGTTCGCTAGCATATGATTGTGCTCGATTTACAGTGCCAACCTACTTGGGATGGCTTATTTTAGCTATGATGCTTGTAACCTTCCCCTTACTTTATTGATGTTTGTATGATCTGTATCTTATTTTCATCAATAAAGTTTCTATTTGCTTATAAAATGAAAGATAAAAAAAATACACAAAAAGACATGGCCAATCATATATATGCAACAAAACCACAATCAATGGTTAAAGAGAATTCAACCAACAAGAAAACAAAATACAGACAAGGTAGGCTCTCAACCCAAACGACCACAGCTCCACTAAAACAAAAGCAGCGCAATCACAACACAACGATGTGAAGCCGAAACAGACCACACCCTATTTGGGTGACAAATTCTTGGCCAAATTTTAAAGGGATTTAGGTGTAAATCTTGATAGGTGAATTTATTGTCTAGCAGGTCTTATGATAATTAATGATATTTTTTTATCAAACTCTATTAAAACACGTCACTAATTATTAATTTTTTAATGACAGTTTGAAAATTTTGTCATAAAAAAGTCACTAATTATAAATTTTAGCGACAGTTTAAAAAAATCACCATAAAAAATGTCACTAATTTTTAACTTTCAACGAAAGTTTAAAAAATTTTTCATAAAAAAATTCACTAATTGTAAATTTTAGTGACAATTTATAAAAATCGTGATAAAAAAAGTCACTAATTATCAATTTTTAGCTATAATTTTATTAGGACTTGATGTAAATTAAGTCAAACTATTAGAACTTATTGGTAGCTTACCCTTACATTTTTTTACTCCTCTAGTTTTACTTAAATTTTATTTTGATCCTTATTTATTTATTGTTTTTGAACAATTTAGTCTCCACATTTTAAGTTTAGCTTTAATTTGGTACTTCCATCAAAATTACCATCAATTTTTTTCCACGTATATAGTAATTCAAGATATATATATATATATAGTAATTCAAAATTATCATCAAAATATATATAGAGACCAAAATAAAATTTAAATAAAATTACAAGTGTGTGAAAGGTATAATTTACTCTCAATTCTTCTTGAATTTGGTTTGAGGTCTGTCTCTAGACTTATTCATTTATTTTTTTTCAATAATTTATTATTATTTTTTGTGAATAATGTTTATAAATGTCAAAATAATTAAATTAAAATAGATATCAACTATATAAGAGTCTAACAAGACAAACTACAAGCTCAACATCAACAACTATTACAAGAAAAGCCTATATAGAAAAGAAATAAACAATTGAATTAACACTCTCTAATTGAAAATAAGTAATCAAGCTTTATCTTTTGCAAAAATTGATCTCTAACCTCTCACTTGAAATACATGGGTGTTAAACTAATTCAGTTTATTTTTCAACAATTTAAATTTAAAAAAACTTTGAGGAGACTTGGAGCAATTTATGATGGACCTAATAAAATTTTCAATGACTGATTTTATTTTATTTTATTTTTTACTAACCGTTTTGAAGAAACAAGTAAAGTAAAAGTGCCAAACAAGTAAATTGAATTTCGAAGAAAAATAGATATTTTTTAATATAAACTCCTTTAAAATGGTGTATCATATACACCATTAATTATATTATTTTTTTTCTTTAGTATCAATTTTTTTATTTAATTATGACATTATTTTAATTATATCTCATATTGTATTTAATTATAATTTAAAAAATTAAAAAAAAATATATATTTTTTATAATTATAAGATATATATAGTGTTTCTAGATACATATAGTGTTTTGGCTGTCACTGTCAAATTGAAAAGATCACATTGTAGCAAGCAATCGTGCATTTCTGCTTATTAATGGTTATCCATAATCTCATGTACATTTTTAGCTCGCTCGCGCTCTCTCTCTCTCTCTCTCTCTCTCTCTCTCTCTCTCTCTCTCTCTCTCTCTCTCTCTCTCTCTCTAAATTAGTTGATAGTTTTAAAACATTACTCTACACTATTTAATGAAGAACAAGTGTCCACTTATTTTTTAAAAGGGTAAATTATAAACACCCCTCGAGGTTTGGTAAAAATATAAATTTCTTCCTGAGGTTTGAGAAATTACAAATTACTCTCTGAAGGTCAAATTTTCATAACAAATTAGGAGAAATTAGGAGAGAATTTGTATGAAAATAAAAATCTCAGGGGACAATTTGTTATGAAAATATAAATCTCAGGGGCGGGATGTAATTTCTCAAATCTCAAGGGAGAATCTGTATTTTTACCAAATCTCAATGGAGGTGTTTGTAATTTGCCCTTTTTAAAACGAGACAAAAAAATTAATGAATTTTATTGTTTCAACTAATAAAAATTAAATTCAAATACCATATTAGTATGTCTTATAAGCAAAAGATAATTCTCCCTCTCTGGATAATAGTACATGTACTGCTCCACAGAACTATATGCATATGGAATTTTATGAAGGAAAATGATACAGAGCTCTAAATCTAGAACTCTAGTGATTTGGCCAAGTTAAAAAAAAAAAGGCACAAACATCATCTCATGGGTAAGAACCAACTCATTAGAGCTCTATAAGAGCTCTTAATTTTCTTCTTTTTATGAAACAAAGTCATTAATTGGGTTGGGCAAAAATATTTCACACTATTAATTGAAGACCACTAATACATCATTAATGACGTGACGTTGATGTGGACCCATCATTGATGTGATAGTTTAGAGCACTGAATCAGTATTGCTGGGTTGGGTTGGGTTTTGTTGAATTGGGTCCCATTGGTAGATGACTTGCATATAATCCGCCAAACCAATTAGATGGCCTGCCTTGTTCAAGTAAACCTGGTTAGTAAAGATTTGGTCACCACCGCTAACACATCCACATTATAATGTCATCATAGCCCAAAAACTGCCAAAATAAAATATATATAAAAAAAAAAAAAAAAATTTAACATCCACATTATGGGCCACTCCCCGTAGTCAGATTCCAAAAAGAAATACTCTGATATTAAACAAACATTAATCATAATAACGCGCAAAAACCCATTAACTTCATTTGGTACTGATTCACACAAGTATATAGGAAATTTGTGTCATATAACTGATTCACTTTAATGAGATTTGTGTCATATAACCTTTAGTTATGACTTTTGAAAATTTTAATTATAATGATTTTATAAATTTAGACTTATCAATTGAAAAATTATTCAGAATTATTATATTGTAGTTTAAATTTATTCCACATATGGATCTCACACTATACAAATTTAATCTTTACCACACAATCACTTATCCAGAAAAATTTGGGTGGATAAATCTAGGTTTCTAGATTTATTCTTATGACGTATTAGGATATTAGTCACGATTTGGTTATAACTCGGTTATACATATCGTGAAGTTAATTATGACTCATTATAATGTTAACTATGACATTATTTTGCTTATGATTTAAAAACTCTTTGGTTATATCTTATGTAATGTTTGATTATAACTCTTTTTTATAAATTTTAAATTATGATTGAAAAATCTAGAAATCCCCTAAATATTGATTTATGATTATATATCAATTTTACCCAGTAAACAGTAATCCCAATCAAATAATCAAAGACAAATTGACACAACGATTTGACGTGAAAAAACTACAATTGGAGTGCCTCCAATTGTAATAAAAAACCACGGGAAAAAATCACAAAACAATCTACTAAAAAGACATAAAGGAATTACACAAGTGTACTCTCAATTACCTAGCGAATTCACGCCCGAATCGAACCGACCCTTATGTGCCTCTTCCAACCCCGTCTTCACCTCGGAATTGTCTTGTCCAACATTGAATCCACAACGTCGATGTTGAATCCATAACGATGAGCCACTCTAGAATCCACCAAAGCTTCAGGCCCAAATTCCCCAGAATCCACCAAAGAACAACTCTCTCTTTCGTATTGAATGAAACAAACAATCCTTTGATGTATACTTTTCAAACCATAAGTTAAACTCAAACAAATATCAAAGAAACTAGCAAAGAAGCTCCAAAAGAAAACCCTAATACCCAAGAAGAAAATCTGGAAGCCGTAACTTTAAAATCTAATTGAAACACATATTTATAGAAAACAAATTCGCGATCTCCGTTCGAGCGCAGGAAAGTTCGCTCGAGCGTAAAATCCCAACTCTCAATACTTTTACAGGCATGTCAAACTTCTAGAACCAAACATTCTCCGCTCAAGCGCACAAACGGTCGTTCGAGCGGACAAGCAACTTCGAATGCATTTTTACATTTTGCTTTGGGGGCACTGCCCCTCGACCCTGCCCAAGTGTTACTTCGGACCCGCCAAGGGGTGCTGCCCCTTGCACCTCCGCGAGTTGACCGAGCAGCTCGATCCCCAACATAATCAGCGAAGTGGCAAACTTGAAAGAATTAACATCACAAACTTCTTTGCAATGCACAATTCGGGTTGGATTCGCATCTAAAAACTCATAGCCTCACTGAAATAAAAAGAATGAATAAAATTACAACTGAAAGGAGTTTTGTTAAACGGGATTACCAAGAATAAAAACCTAACAATGATATTTATAATAATCAATTCCATTAATATCATAACTTGCATATGATACACTTTGTAAATATATATA